TTCTTGAAATCATTATGGTAGAATTGTGTTCCGTTCTCTCTAAATTACTTTAAGATTAAATCTATTTTTAAATCTAGGATAGTGGTTTCCTCTCTACTAAGCAAATTACAGTTTTATGAATTTTTTATTTAATGAGTAAGCAAATCCAGTGTTTATAAAACGAGTTCACGTTTGAAGACTTTCGAATATTGTTTTATGGGAGGTACATGCATGTATAAGGTTTCTTTTGAAGTAAATTTGCTGTTCTTAAATTATAAAAATGATTGCAGAAGCCAAATGACCGATTAGTAGCAGTATAAAATCGTTTTGGTGAAGAGCAAATAGGGTATATTTTTTTGAACATTTAATTTCTTTCAGATTGAAAAAAAAATTAAGGTATCTGAGATTAGATTGAAAAGGTGTTTTTTAGTAATCAGATGTTAGGGCCATTAGACAAATAAAAGCAATATAATTATTGAGGCAGGAGGAGGAATACTACATAAAACTGGAGAATTTTAAGCTGTTTTACTAATATTTACTGTATAGCTTATAAGAATATTTAATAATGTGTTTTAGGAGAAGGAGATTTTTATGATAAGTTACGCACGAAAAATGGGAAATCTGAAAAACAGTCTGACATAAATCAATGAAACAGCAGGCCTTAAGATAGTTTTTATTAATTATATTTAACATCTGTTTTAGATCAGTAACGTTAAATTTGAATGCTTATAAAATACTTATTTCTAAAAATACTTCTACCCAAAGGTTTGGGACACTTCTGATGTATCAAGAAGTGTATGCGTAAGTACTAGTTTTTATACATCTCTTCTTAAAAAGTTTTGGTTTCAGAAATTAGATATTTTGTATATGTATTGTACTTTCAGACCTTTACTCTGTATTTCTCAATTTTTGTGGATGGGATTAGACTATTTGAATTTGCAAAATTATAAAAAAAAAATATGAATAGAAAAAATAGTATAATTTTTAATATTTCTAATTATTTTAATTTAAAAAAATCTTTAAAAAAAGTTAAATTTAAAAGTTATTTATATTTAATCTTATTTTAAAAAGGAAGGATCTACTGTACGTCTTTCATAAATTATCCTGCGGAAAAAAAAATTAAATAGTCATTATTATTGTGTTTATACTTTAGCCTGGTTTAAAAAGTACAATAATTCCAAAGCAAAAACTGTTTTGATGCTTTAAGTTTTGTAAACTGAAGGAAAATTTTTGTTAAAATGAGCAAAATGTACTGGTTTATGAGTACTCGAAATAGTATGCCATAATATCAATACCAAAAGTCATAAGATTAGCTTAAGTGTTTTTATGTAATATGCTACATGCTGCATTTAAATGGCTAATTGTGCATGAAGATAAACGTAATTATTTTAAAAAGACCAAATGAGTTTAAATGCTTCCTCAATAAGCTTAAAAAAATAATTGTACTCGTATGCATGAAAATGATTCATGACAAATACTGACGATAAATATAGAATAGTAAATAAATCTTCGAAAAAAAGTCAACAAGACCATTTTTTAACTCGTTTAATGACTAAAACCTGTTTCCTTTGGTATCTTCACAGTGATTGATCAAGGAAAGAAACTTTGGGAAATAAGAAGAAAACGAAAATAAAGACAAACAAATCACTTCAAGTGTTAAATTTGGGTTTCTTTCCCCTTTACTTTATTTCTTGGTTGAGAAGATAGTTTGAAGTGGACTTCAAAGTGTTTTGTTAAACACAAAACAGTATTAAGATAAATTTTTATTGTTGTGCTTTTCAAACACAGATATATTTTTTCTTAAAAGTATAAAAAAAAGTAGAAAACTTGTCTAAGAAAATATCTAAAAAAAGAAAGAAAACTCGAAGAAAAAAAAGAAATCTCTTTGAAGTATTTGATATCATATTGAAAGGGAAGATACACATCGGGAATACGAATGGATGAGGGGGTGGCAGGGGTGACGTTAGGGGTGGCAAAGAAAAACAGATGTTTCAGATCTTTGTTTTTTCAATAGATTTCAATTCAATTCGCGATAAGAAACAAAAATACACGACAATTTTCTTCCTTCCTCAGAAGATGGTGATGCGTAACTCTTTCTGAAGCTACCATTCAAAAACACGAAGAAATGTGAGAGAGAAAAACGAGGGACACAATAGCGAGAATTTTCGGAAGGTTGTGAAGCTAAATATTTTAGGTAATCGGAGAATTTCTATCTTTGTTTGAGGATGAAATGATAGCCGCGTATTTTACATTTTTTCTGAAAGGGATTCGTAAAAGAGGAACATATTGTTTATGTGTTCTGATGAAAAACAAATATTTAATTTGTAGCGTCTCATAATTTTATTTTCAGTAAATATTTTAAGAATATCCAAAGTTGTGAATATAAAAATAACTCCGGATATTATTAAGTCAATTTTATATTTTAACCATAAAGAAATATTTAGAAGTAACCTATTTCAGCAATAGATGGCTTATTTATCTCATTGAGGATAGCTTAGAAACTTTAGTTTTAACAAGGGGTCTCAGGGATGTTAGTTTTGTCTCGAGGGCTGAAAACAAACAATTTCGATTAGACATAATTCTTTGAAGTTAAAATTAAGTAATTCAATTTTTACACATTCTTATGAAGAAATAATGTTACAAAAATTTGCAAAATGTTTAAAATATATAATCATATTTTTCAAAATTATAAGTACATGTAAATAAGAAACTTTTCTGTAAGAAATATTAATTAAGTCTAACGTTGATCAAGATATTTTCTGAAATAGTGACTCTAATTACTCGCAAAAAATTATTTATGAAGTTAAATATATATCCTAATTACAATGTCTTACACTTACAACAATATTTTACTTCTGTATCCCTTACAGTTTTTAAATTAAGAAAAATATATTACTAAAATTATGTAGAGTTTGAAGAGTAAGATGCATTTTATAATCCTATAAAGTTTTATACATTAAATGCTTCCAATTTAGAAAATATCATATACAACGTAAAACTTGCTAAATATTTCTTAAAAAAATGTTTCTTATTTTTATGTTCTTATAATTTTTAAAATTATGATTTTATTTCAAAAATTTTACACTTTTCAGAAACTTTATTTCTTAGTAAAAAATGTAAAAAAGAAACGAATTACTTAATTTTAAGCTCAATGAATTATATCTAGTCAAAAATTGCGTATAATTTCTGCTCTCGAGACAAAATTAACACCTCTTTTAACAGAACAAAGAAACGTGATAGAAAACATTATAATAATTGAGATTTATTATTAAGAATCCTTATTGTGCCATTCAACTAGCTGTTAAACATGTTCTTATTAATTTGACGTTAACTATCTTATTTGTGTATTCTTATTTAAATGTCAGTTTTTATCAATATTCCACGTTTGATCCATAGTAAATACGTCAGAGTGCCTAAATTAAAATTTAAGATAGATTGCTAAAAGAATTTGATAAGTGGTTTCATCAGATACAATGCTTTTCCTTTTGGGTGTTTCAATTTTAAAAAAATGCTCCCAATCAATAATATTGAAAAAAGTATTGGTTTCAAAATTTTTAAAAATAGCGAAAAGAGTTTCGGAGAAGATTTAAATTGTAACATACTTTATATATGAAAATTCATATATCTTATTTTAAAGAAAGTTTAATTATTAAAAGACAAAATAATCAGAAATACAAATTTTTGAATAAAATATAAAAATAAGTAATGGTCTTTTTTTAATATTATTATTAATTTATAATAAAGAATATTTAAAAAAATGAGTAGAAAAACTCAATCTAAAGCACATTTTTGGGGAATAAATTCATTAGAGTGAAGTTATTTTAATGTACTTAACATTTACGCTGCTAAACAATAAACCCTTATAAATAATGACTTAAATTTTTTATGTCTTTGTTCAACAAAAATGATGTATAACTTAAATATTTTTATAAGGATTTGATAGAATATTAAAATTAAAAATTCAGAGGCAATCATTTTAAACTTTTCAATGCATCATGTAACCGTGGAACTTTCTCTAAACCTATAAACTGTAATTACTTTTAATTAAACCTTCATACATACTCCATAAAGCATGATTATTTGGAATGAGTGAGAGAGAGTTATATTAAATAGGATAGATTTTACAACTAAATATACCTAGAACGTCCGCAAGCGTCATTTCAAATGCAATTTATCGTTATAAATAGCTGTCGTTCAGCAAAGGATTGTTCACTAAGTAGATACCATTAGGAAAACACTTCAAGAAGTAATATCGCCCATTTACATAACATTGAATGCAATGCTATTGGGTTCAGAGCAGAAATTAGTAAGTTATACTAAAGCCTCGTTGTGTCTTAGTGTTCTGGTACACAGCATTTTTGCTTATCTACTTATAAAAAAAATTCGATTCTCGAACATAGTGTAGAGCACACACCCTGAAAACATGACTTTTAGAAAAGGTCTAAGAACTGATGATATTGCTACTTTGTTGCGAGAGCTTTCTGAAAATGAATCAGATTGTGGTGAGCTGTTCTGCTCTAAGTTAGATTCCTATGAAATCATAAGATTGAGTGAAAATGACAGCAAATAATTTGAAGAAACTTCAGATTAAATTGATAATGTTCCAGTAAATACTGATATATATGTCATTAGGATAGCACAAAATGGATGCCGCATAATAGTAATGTTCCTGGCAGATTTTCGATTCGAAATGTTTTGCGACAAAGCAGTGGTCCAACAAGCTTTGCGAAACATAATGTCAACGTCAGTTTTTTATGATGTAAAGGGTCACAAAACAATATATGATAGTAAAATAATATTAAAACGTCTTTAAACTAAACTCTACTGAACAGAAGTCCTGTAATTATTCAGTTATTACAATTATTTTATATATTTTATATTGTGGTGTAGAAACGACACCGGTTGATGTTTACGGTAATCGAAATCCCAGACTTTCTTGTCTTAATTACTTTGAAATATTTTACTGTTTCTTTTTTAAAAACTATTCCTTAAATATTCTGTTGAATCCACTTACATATATGGTGAAAATCCCTGTTCCCACCCGATCACTGAAGTTAAGCATCATCGAGCGAGGACAGTTTTTGATAGGGTGACCACCTGGGAACAAAGCGATTCAATTGTAAGGAAATAATCATCTACTGACCTATATTTCAAAGGTTCGAAGTAGAGAACATCTTTATTCACTCAGCATTATTTCAATATAGGAAAGTTAACGCATAATTAGTTATAGCTATAAAATTTAAGTTACATTTAAAAATAATTACGAATCAAGAAAAAGACGTAGAGGTTCATACGAGTGCGAATCAAGCTAATAGAAACAGACTTTAGATTATTATTTTAAGCGTTTAAAGAATTATTCTATGTATGTGTACATGCCAATTTCCTCCGTCATATTCTATTAAAATAATTGTCATATTTATTCTTATAACGCATAAGAAGCTTTTTAAATTATTAAATTTTAGAAATAAAACTATTGAAAATAATGGATAAATTCTTGGTGACTAAAAGGAAAATGACACTAAAGTGTGTCATTCATCTAAAATGTATTTAAAAATCCACTGTTGGTGTCATTTGGTGCAATATTTATTTTTGTTTCCAATACTGGAAATTATACCAATACTTTATATAAGTATGAACCTATACTGATAGATGATTGAAGAATATTTTTTACAAATAAATAATTTAACAATTGGCGAAAGAAAATGATGTATAATTAATACAAAAATGTATTTATTATAAAGTAAAAATGCTATATTCAGTTTAGAATTGCTTCCGATAAATAAAAATAAATAAGTAAATAAAATTATGAACATTACTTATTTCAAAAACGCATTTCCAAGTGTTAAAATTTATAAATATCATTTTAACCATGTTATAATGCAATAATCCATAACAAATTTTGAATAGAAATAATTTAATGAAACTTATATTCAGCGTGGAATTAAAACATCGAATATCTCATACATTATTGAATTTTTAACTAAAACCATATAAAAATTCCAATTTTTAAATAAAACACATTTTTCTTTTAACTCGAAGTTATTTAGCATAAAGTTTAAATGATTCATAATGTATTTTTAAAGAAGGATTTAAAAGTGTTATTTTGATTATTTATAAACCCACATATTTATTAAACGTATTATTTATATTTCAGTTTTTACATATACCCACAAAGAACTCAAAACCAATAAGCACAGTTAATATAGCAAATATGCATTTTTTCCTTCTCTCTTGAGATAAATCATTTTTCACTTACTTTCCGGTTTCATTTAATAGATACTCCTCTGAGGATTACTTTTTTGAAAAAATATCACTGCTTTGAAACCAGACATATTTTTCGTTCTTAATCATAACTTTTTTAATGTTTATTTACTGAATAGATGATGAATGAAGGTAAAAAAAGATATCAAAGAAGGATATAGGATAAATAATGATTCTAATGCTGTTTTTTTCCTTCTTTACTTTAAAGAAATTGGATGTTTTCTGTCTGAAAAAAAAAGAAGTGTACTTTATTAAAGCCAAGATTTTTTATTAACTTTCCATTTGGGTTAAACACTAATTTAAAAATCTATTTTTAGCTCAAATTTTGAATAGGTCCCTTTTTCTGTAGAGGTTTTTGTATTGTTTGCATAAAGGAGATTTTTAATATATATATATATATATATATATATATATATATATATATATATATAATATATATATATATAAAGTTGTTATTAACTGTGTTCAAATAACTCTACGTCATTCGTTAATATTCTGTAATCCTCACTTTCTCTAATTACGATACATTTTTTTTTTAAAAAAAATTCACTTTTAGAGAAACATTAACAATTTTCTTATAAAAGGTGAATTAAATATGAAAACTATTTACTTCTTTACCCTTGTACTTGGCAAAATGTCCTTAAAGTGCCATAATCTACTAATTATATGTACTGTGAAAACTTATATTATCAATTCATTAAGGCTTCATAGGAATCTTAAATTGCAAATTTTTCAATTTTTTGAAGAAAAAAATATATGTTACAGCCTCAATATTTCTCAGCATTTTGGTATCAAAATTGAGTTGATACTATGAAAACTTCCGAAGTTTTTGAGAAATAAGTAGTGAAACTTAAACGAATATCCTATCTCTTTCTTATCTTTCACTTCATTTTTCGCAAAACAAAAAAAAAAAAAAAAATTAGCTTCCGCGCAGGACTTCTCAGAAACTATTTATGGTATCAATTTGAAATTTTATACAAGTGTTCAAAATAAGGCTCTTCATAACTTATACATCATTTTTCTTAAATAATTAAATAAAATATTATTTATTTGAATTTTAATTAATTTTTTTCAAAAAAATAATTTTGTAAATTTTGATCAATTTTGTACTTCAGAGTCCTGCGTGGTGTAAAATACTAATTTTCATAATTTTGAAAAATTGTTCAACTTTTATTTCCTTATAACTTTTTAAATTTCTTCTCAATTTCTCTGAAATTTTGAGAAATAAAGTATTTATGTATGATGATCATGTGGTAAAAATTTCAAATTATTATTTCGTTTTATTGCTAAGTTACATTGGTTTGCAGAAGGATGTCTTTTTCAACTGCACGGTTATCTGCTAAGAGTCCTGTGAGCCCTTAAATAACGAGCTAATGAAGACAGTTAAATTCCTTTTTTAATGTAAAGTAACGTAGAAAAAATATTTCGGTAACACATATTATATATATTCCGTATTTATATATACCTATATACGTTATAAAGAATAATTTATCATTAATATTAGTATATACCTTCAGAATAGTTTCTATTTTCATAATGTTCACGAATTTTTCAGGAACTGATATTTCAATGGAGTTGCACTTCTAAAATAATATAAAAGAAAATGCATCTGACCACATTCGCCAAGGGGTTAAAAGCTCGAACTCCTGGTCACTGTGTCGTTCCCACTGTGCAAAATGTCCGATGCACATTAAGTCTTTCGTGGCTAAACGTCCAACTATATGTGTGGTGTAATAGTTTTTAAAGTGAGGAATAACTCATGTGTCATCCTCGTCACTTGACCAAGGTCATTTGATAACATTCCTCGTGTTGTTTTATAGTGCAATGATAATAAACGGCTCAAACTCGAGAGAAAATTCACTAATATGTTTTGTGATTGTTCGAGCAATTATTTAGTTATATTTATCTAGACATGTCATGAATCACATATGGCTAAATAGTTTTTCTACCAGTAAAACATTATCAGAAATTAAAGCAACATTATATTTGTTTCAATCGGTCTAAGTGACCGATTCTCCTTCGTCCACATCATATCTACTTGAAGTTCGTGACCATAACGATTCGAGCACTGCGACCCCCAACCATTCTGAGGTAATGAGCTTTGTAGAAATATAAACTTTAAAAAAGTCAATGTCTCCAATATGTTTAATAGAGTTAAAATATGCCTGCGTGACGTATGCCAAGAATACAATGTAACATTTATGTTTTTATATCTAAGCATCTTTATAAATGTTCTTTGTGAGCTTTGTGACGTTTTTAACCAAACACTGCAGATCTGGTGTTTCTGCTCAAAATATGCAGACTCCTTGTAACGATAAGTTAAACGTAACTGTGGGTGAGTAGTCATTTCTTATACAAGTGATTCGTTCATTAATAGGCTAGCTGCCCTCATATTACTATGCAATTTACTACTTTTATTTTTTAAGTTTTAACTAAATAAACCAACCGTTAATTTTTACCGGTGTTTTCCTTTCTTATCTACTTATTCCTATATTGGAGAATACACTGAAAAATTGGTGATCCGGATGGGATTTGAACATGCGACCTTCTTATATGGAGCGCTCTGGAAAGAAATATTGAAATATACAAGCTTAATTTATTTCACTGTACATAAAAGCTGTTAAACTGTTCTTTTAAGATTTTTTTATTAATTTTTTTTTGTTAATACAGGTAAAGGTGAATTGGACTTCCTTCTAACATAAAAAAAATATTCTTTATATTTAAAAGCTGTATTTTTAATTAGTATACAATAATTTCAAACGATTTTTTCTGTATTGAAACCAGAGTTTGTTATTTAATTTAACTTTTCGAATATCATTGTGTATAAGCTATTTAGCACAAAAACGCGTCATAAAAATAATTGTAATGTTTCACTTGTTTTTAAAGAAATTGTCACATATTCCAGTCTTTCAGAAGTAAAATAAGATTAAGGAAGACTTTTAAACGAAAAATATCTAAAACGAATAAAATGTAAATCTTCCAATAAATACATTCTTCATTTGGGCAATGAAAATATTTTAACATCGTAACCCTGATAATATAAGAAAATATTTTAGCATATCCCACAGGGTATACAATCAGATTTTTTAGTCTCCAATACTACTTTTGCCTAAGAAAGTTGAAGAGAAATGAGCTCTTAAAGTTCACCAGTTTTGAAAGATCGCATAATAAGATTTTGTTCAGGGATTTTTGCTAGATGAATAAAAAAATGGAGATCTTATAAAAAGGATATAGTGTTTACAGTAAACAGAAAGGTATGGAAATTCAAGAAAAATAATATATTTTAATTTCGGTTCTATGAAAAGAAGATGGAATTGAGAAAAATATTTACTTATTTTCCACTTTTTCATTTGAATATGTTGATGGAATCTAAAATGTTTTTATAAGAAGACTGATGATTTCGCTTTACAAAATATGAAATGTATTGCATGATAAATTTTATGTGTTGTATGTACATATGTTAAGCTTATAGATTCAATTTTAAAAGTAAAAATATGTAGTTTGAAAATAATCAATTTTTATACGTATTCCAAGAATGAATATCGGAAATTGAATTTAACTTAGTTATTTCCAACTGAAGAATTTGTTCCAAAAAAACTTCAAGACGATTGGTGGGATCTGCTCATCAGCTTCAAAATACACTCGAATGGAATAATAATATTGGTATATATCAAGCAATTTAACCAGTACAATAATTTAAAGAATGCTCGGAAACAAATTGAAGAATTGATTTTTGCCATTGAAGGGACTTTTCTTTCAGAAATATAACCCAAAGGGGTAATGTGGGAGGTAGAGGAACACAACTGTTTACAAAATTTCTTTGGTTATAAGAATGCCATGGATG